AAAAAAAAAAAAAAAAGAAAGTATATGCTGCTATCATTTTCAAAGGCATAGGTTACACAATTTGCAAATGTGGTCAGAAACAAACATTCTACGTTCAATTTACAACACTGCTTCAGGCTTTACTTTGCTTCACTCTTTGTGAGCAAAGTTTCTTACAAAACAAGCTAGCTGAGTTTTTGTTTCAATTTACTAAAATATTTTTCAAGGCACATTAATAGTATTTTGTGGAAATATTTCATCTGGGTATTTTGCTGTAATATTTGATAAGGAAATACCATTAAAAATGACAAATTAATTTCTTAATTAAGTAAACTTGCAAAGATTATAAAGTAGTAACAATTAATATCTCTTCAGCACTTATTCCATGCCAAGGAATTAGAGAATAGTGATAGAATCTAAAGATACTGAAAAATGAGTCATGTTACAAGTTTCAATTATCTAGACTACACAAATTTCTTTCTTATAGTAATGTGGAAGAAGCCATGAAGTCACAATGGTTAAGTACTGGCTGTTAACCGAAAGACTGGCAGTTTGAAACCATCCAGCTGCTCTGAAGGGGAAACACCTGGTAATCTGGCTCCCATAAAGATTACGGGTGGTTCTAGTCTGTCATTGGAGGTCGCTATGAGTCTAAAAGGAGCTCTGGTAGTGTAGTACCTAAGGCACTTGACAGCCAACCAGAAGGCTGGTGGTTCAGAACCACCAGCTACTCGTTGGAAGGAAGGTTGGGCAATCTACTTCCACAGTGATACCATCTCGGAAACCCAAAGAAGGGTTGCTATTAGTCAGGTTTGACTCGATAGCACATAGCAACAACATGAGTCTAAAACTAACTCACCAGCATGCAACAAGAACGGCAAAAAAAAAAAAAAACATTAGTGTAGATAATCAAGGGCTGAATAATGAGAAGTCGACATCTGACTCTAAATGATGATGATGATGATCAAATAGGCCTCCCTGGTATCTACTTTTAAGACTACTGACTGCATTGAACACTTTTCATCTTCTCATCTGGGTAGAGTAACAGTTCATATCTCCCAAACCACTTCCTTTTCAAGCACTGTACTATTCTGAAGCAGGCCATGAAGCTAGAGTGACTTATGACCAAGGACACTGTGAACAATGCTTAGGCATAGCAAAAGTACCCTAGAAAACCAAATGTCCATGCTGGAGGGGAATCTGCTTATCACAGACCAGAGATCCCTTTGATGTGCTATCAGGTTACTCAATAGCTCAGAAAAATCAGCATTTCTAAAAGTGCAATATATGCAGTGTTCCAGAGGGCAGAAAATGAGGACATAAAAACTGCATGTCAAAGGGCATGTGTTTTCCTACAAAACTTTAACGTCAGCCAACGTGTACTCCACACCCAAACTACACTTGAAGCTGATACAAGCAAATGAAAATCTGAGTCCTCTACAAAAGGGCAAGATACGTTCAGCGTACCTCTAGATAGATTTTCACTTACTCTGGAATTACAATGAAACTGGAGATTACAAAGGTATTTATAACTTATGTATCTAAACTATTCACTAGAACTCATCTAGCACATAAAAGAAAAATACTCATTTTAAAAAGGTCATTGATCTTGTGTTTATTCTCATACTAAGCCTTAACTATGGTATGATCTCCACATCTGGCTTTGCTGCTTAATTACTGCTTTCTAGGCCGTCTGCTTTAATTAATGTAACCCTGTACCTTCGGATGGCCACGGTGAGAGCCTCTGGTGAGCTAGCACAAGGACAAATGACCTCCTGCCGCAGGCCTTTACTTTGGAAGACATTGAGAAATGCATCACAAGATGAAATAGACCCTAGAGTGAAAAAGTCAAAAGACGGGGGGGAAACAATCAGACAGGTGAAGCAATGCGATTTAATTTTAAAATATTCAAAAATACAAACTATTTTTAAACACTGAATTTAGGCATAAAGAGGTTGCTGTTAGCTGCTGTCAGGCAACTTCATTTAAATATAATTTTTTACTTATGCTACATTGAACAGCACTCTACTCAATACAACTTATCACTTAAGTTACAATGAAAGATGACAGTATTCTCAAGCTTGCAGCAAAAATGGGAGTGTACTCAAGAATTTTTTAAAATATAACTTTTATATCTAAAATACTTTTGTGGAATGATGAACTTTACTCTAATAACTTTTCCTAAGACTTGTTCTATCATTTTTAACATGCATATTCCAAGAGATGGGCAAATCTAAAGTAGAATAAGAAAACTATCCTCTTTGTTAACTTTAATGAGTAGGTCCAAGTATAATTACTATAAATATATCAGCCAAACTATTTCAAAATGCAAGTTTACTTTGCTTTATGCAAGGCATAATATTCTGAAGCATTATAATTTTGTATTAAAATAGCTCATGATTTACAGAGTTATTTTATAAATGGAAAACACATTTATAAAACTAGTACTAATTTATCTGTTTGCAAACCCACTTTTAGACATCAGCCTTTCTTAAGAAAGTATATGCTGCTTTCATTTACAAATACATATGTTGCACAATTTACAAATGTGGTCAGAAACAAATATTCTACATTCAAATGAAAACCCTTTGCTTTACTCTTGGTGAGACGAGTCTCACAAAACAAGTTAGCTGAGTTTTTGTTTGATTTTACTGAACTATTTCTAAGGCACATTAATAGTATTTTGTGTGGGGAGGGAAGGGGGGGATAACTGCAGGCTACTTGGGGGCCACACATTGAGGTGGGCAAGGGGAGGGTGGTGTGAAAAGAGTCTGTGACCACCATGATAACAACGCGGAAAGGGAGGATACTGAATTGTGCACATTAAGATATAGACGACAGAGGCTAATACCAGTATATCCACAATACTGCATTACCATTAACACCAAACACCAGGCTACAGATAAACACATAGACAGCTGAGAAGATCAAATGGGGGTCAGCAAACAAGTTTATACTCCAGACCAAGGATAGTTGCAGCTGAGGCTAATCTTGCACAGATACCAGTGATACAAAATACCCGCAATCCTCATAGAAACAACAGCAGACAGACATAGAGCAATCCCTCACAGACATCCAGACACTATGGGAGAGAGATCTAACAGGTCTACTGACTCAGGACCATAGTACCGGGGGACACCAGACTCAATTGGCACAACAAAATACATAAAAATCTTGCTCTACAACGTATATTGGTGAGTAGCAACTGGGGTCTTAAAAGCTTTCCAGCAGCCATCTAAGATGCAGCTAATGGTCTCCTGTCGTTGGAAACAAAGAAGAGTGCAAAAAACTAAGGGCATTTGGAAGCAATCAGCCCTAGGACAAGACAGAGCTTGAGACCAGAAGAATTAGATGGTGCCCAGCTATCAATGCCAACCACTTGGGAAAGGATCAAGACTGGAGATCCTGGATAGAGCGGGAGGAAAAATGTGGAACAAAATCCAAAAACACAATCATGACCAAAATTACTGGTAAGATGGAGTCTGGTGGGACCCCCAATACTATGGCCCTGGGATACACTTTGGGCCTTGAATAAAACATACTCCCAGGGCTGGCTCTCAGCCCAACAGTAAACAAGATGTACATGCAGACCACTCAACCCAGGGTGACACACCCACATACTCTATGGAGGTGCATCCCTTGGAGCAATCAACCATGGAGCACCAGAGGGGCAACATTCACATGGAGGAAATGCAGGACACACAGGAGTACATTACTATGAGGCACAGGGTGGGGAGGAAGGCTTACTGGGAAGGGAGGGGAGGAGAGTGGGTTAGGGTTGGGGATGGTAATTGGGAAGTGAAAACAAATGTACATGAAATGTTGAATGGAAAACAAACTGAAAAAATTAGCATTTTGTGGAACTGTATTTTATCTCATGCTACAAAACTTGGTAAGGAATCCCATTAAAAAGGACTAATTTCTTAATTGAGTAAACTAGTAGATTATAAAATAGTAGCAGTTATTATTACTTATTCCATGCCAAGGAACTGAATATAGGATTTGCTTTATTTAATTCTCATAAAACCTTAGATTTACATATAATTTTACAGCTCAGGAAATAGAGGATTAAAAAAATGTAACTCTCTCTACAGAATCAGGAAGTAGAAGACCCAGAACTTAACTCAGGGCTGTGTCTCTCCAAACGCCATGTTCTAAACTATTATGTTATGTTCTTAATCATGTACCTCAAGGCTATATAATACTGTTTGATCATTATTTGAAGATCTTACTTCTTAACTAAGGTAAAAATTGAAAAAAGAAGAATCAAAGCACAAAGAATGAAACATGACTCAGAAAATGAGGACCTCTACTGCCTGCCTATCTGTCTTTTACGCTAACAATATACACATTACTCACAGGGATTTGCTCCATCAGCCACTATTAACATTCGGAGAGAAGAGAGATTGATGTCTCTTTGATCTCTGTGAGCTACTAACGCCCAATGCATGTCCCTTGATTTTACACAAGCCACTTTTGCTAAAAACAAAGCAGAAAGCAGTAAGTTAATATGTGCCTCCATCTGATACTCAAAAAAGAGAGGTAATTGTGACTGATAAAGGAATGGTAAATAATCTTATGAGGGAGGGGATAGACACTGCACATAAATGTGTCACCAGAACAACTGTGAGGAGACCCCTGAGGCCACCTGAGTGTGTCTGCCTTACCTTTGTACTGGCAGACCTTCTGTATCCAGGACAGAGGGTTCACTTTCATTAAAGAGTACGGGATGCTGATTACATGCATCATGTTCATGACACTCTGAAATCAGAATAAAATAAACACACACAGATGTAAACATACGGCCTGCAAAGTACTGATAGAGCTGGAAAAGCCTATCTCCTTTACAGTGTAGAAAATACATCTAGCCAAGGCTCAACAAGCTGATGAAAATGGATACACGAGGTGTCAACTAGGAACTTCAGGTGAGAAACATGTCACTTGCCATCAAGTCAGCTACGACTCACAGTGACCTTATGTATAACAGAATGAAATGCTGTCCAGTCTTCTGCCATCTTCATGAGTGTTAGTACATTTGAGGCTACTGTTGTGCTTATGATGTCAATCTATCTCATTAAAAGTTTTCCTCATTTCCCCTGACCCTCTGGTTTACAAAATATCATGTCCTTTTCTAGTAATTGTTCTTTTCTGATGTGTGTGACCAAAGCAAGCAAGTTGAAGTCATGAGAGAGGCTTATTAACCCATCAAGTCCTCTGAGGGTGAATGGATTGGTGAAACTTATGAGGCTCAACACTATCAGAACATGAATCCTGGCATAATCCTTTAAAAGAATGTTGAAGTGAAAGTGACTTCTAAAGGTCATCTGGTCCTCTCTACTTTTGCCTTTCCTAAATTGTTCCTGATGGAATTAAAGTATTTAAGTCCAAATCCTTTCTTTAAATAAAATCTGTAGTTGAATGATCATTAAGTGATTTTTTCAATAGCTTTTTACATTCTTGAAGTGTAACTGTTATTGTTGTTATGTGCCGCCGAGTCGGACCCGACTCATAGCGACCCCTCCTTAGGTTTCCAAGGCAGTATCACTACGGAAGTAGATTGCCTCATCTTCCTTCTGAGTAACTGTTATATTATGCTGAAATTATATTTCATAAAACACATTCTTTAATTAAATATTACACTGAGGCGTCAAGGAATAGTGGAAAGTTTGTCTCAGTCCTCTCAGTCTTCCTTCTAGCTTTGCTAATGTAGATAAAGATTTAAGAGCCTTCTTTTCTTTAATAAAGCATGAACAAATATTTAAATGGTTACTACCTACCTGCTACAGTCAGGACTTCCACAACTACTTAGGCATCATAGACTATACAGTGCTCTACTAGAGCTGAGAGAAGTTATAGGGACATGGTAAATATTTAGCCATAATCATTTGACTTTTACCCTATTAGTATTCTCATATGATACTGAGCTCTGGTAGCATAGTGGCTAAGGCACTTGACTACTAACCAGACGGCTGGCAGTTCAAACCCACTAGCCACTCCTCGGAAGGAAGGTTGGGCAATCCTACTTCCGTAGTGATACTGCCTCGGAAACCCAGGGAGGGGTCGCTATGAGTCAGGTCTGACTCGACGGCACATAACAACAACAACAACATGATACTGAGGGTTGGAGCAGAATGAGAGGCACAAAACCAGTATGTAGAGCCAATGATTCAATTCAAGCACTTCCAAATAAAAATTAAAAGAAAATGTCTGCCCTTCTAGGAGGACGTTCTGCCAGCTGACCAGAATGCACCTATAGCTTCCTCAGTGCACATTCCCACTCACTTTTGGCTTAGTCCTCATACTGCACTGGAGTGGGTAAGAGTATCTTTCAAAATGATGCCATGAAAGACCGTGAACTGCTAATAATCAAAGATTTTCCTTGCCCTGAAAATGGTAGAAGTCCTTGAGTGGTGCAAACAATATACTCAGCTGCTAACTGAAAAACTGGAGATTCAAGGCAACCCAGAGGCACCTTGGAAGAAAGGCCTAGCAATATTCCTCTGAAAAATCAGTCACTGAAAACTCTTTGGAGCACAGTTCTTCTGACATACATGGGATCGCCATGACTCAAAATTGACTCAACGGCAACCAGTTTAGAAGGTGGTATAAAAGAGATCCACAAGCTACTAATTATTGCAAGCAGTAAAGCAGAGTAACATAAGCAAACAAGGTGACAACATTAACAAAGGAGTTACTTAAGTAAAGGAGATGATAATATTACAAGTGTCTCCATATGATGAAAAACACGATACATTTCTAATAATGACAGTAACTCTAATAGTAACAATGATAGTAATTTTCTGTTACTGAGGGTAACATGTAGGTGTACTGTTGTTATGTGCCATCAAGTCGGACCCAACTCATAGCGACCCCTCCTTGGGTTTCTGAGGCAGTATCACTACCGAAGTAGATTGCCCCATCTTCCTTCTGAGGAGTGGCTGGTGGGTTTGAACCGCCAGCCTTCTGGTTAGCAGTCAAGTGCCTTAGGCACTATGCTACCAGAGCGCTCATAGGTGTATTAGGTTTTTATTAAATATTAGGCCACAAAATCCCCACAGCAGTCAAGTTAGATAAATAAAAAAACCAAGCCCATTGCCATTGAGTTGATTCCTGCTCACAGGGACCCCCTTTGGGTTTCCAAGGCAGTCTTTATAGAAGGAGACTGTCCCATCTTCCTTCCATGGAGCAGCTGGTGGGTTTGAACCACCAGCCTTCTGGTTAGAAATCAAATAAATGCCTTATGCACTGCACCACCAGAGCTCCTTACCATGTTGGAAAGGTATTTTTATTCTCACTTACAGATAGGAAAACTAAGGTTCAGGGATACGAAGGTATTTTCATTCATTAATTCATCAGCCAACAAAAGATTTTTGGCACTATGTGACCTACCTAAAGTCACAGTTATAAATGGAAGGGCTGGAATTCAAGAGTAGTTTCTAATAATGGAAATTTTCTAAAAGAAAGCTACCATTGTAGTTACTGTTAGAATTCTTACCATTATTAAACAGTGGTGTGGTGGGTAGTGCCCTTTCTACTACACCACCACACCACTAATGTGTGAGTGTTTCTAACTGTACATCTATATTTTATCAAGTAATAATTTGTAATGAAAGAAATGAATTATATTGCATTAACAGAAAGAAGTAAGCTGGTGCCGGTTTTGGAAACTCAAATGTTAAGTATATGTGTACTTGTGTCTTCTCATTCATACAAATACTGGCTTTTGAAGAAAGAGCAAACTCCACTTTCTACATTTATGTTCTCATCACTAGTAAAAATTATTAGAATTTTCTACTTCAGAAAAGATACAAAGTTGCAGCATAAAACTATTAAAAAGAAAAACGGCAGGTGAAAATAACCACACATGAAACAGACACGGGGAGATGCAGAGCCCTTAGGCTCTACTTATCTTTAAAAATGCTAAACCTATCATAAAGATACAAAAGGATAATTCTCTATCAAAACTGCCTACAGCCTGGTACTATCATCACTTATCAAGGGGTATTAATGAGACATACATTTCTCTGCAGTGAATGCTGAATTTTCATTTTTCAGGGGATATTGTTATTTCTCCCCTATAATATAACTGTAGAATCTCTAAATATTCATAAACTCTGACTCATAGAAAAAAAGTAACAAGAACGTCCTAGTCAAATCAGATGTGTGGGAAAGTGAACAAAACATAAACAAGAAGTAGATAACATTACTGTGAAATGTTAAATGACAAAAGCGGGAGAAGAAAGATAGTGAACTCTCTGAGTCTTAACAAGGCTTCTCTAAGGAGTCCTGGTGGTGCAAAGGGTTTAGCACTTCGCTATAAAGGTTGGGAATTCAAACCCACCCAGTCGTTCAGCAGGAAAAAGACCTGGTGAACTGTTCCGTAAAGATTATAGTGAAGAAAATCCAATCAGGCGGTTCTACTCTGTCACATGGGGTCGCTGTGAGTTGAAAATCACTTGATGGCACCTAAGATAGTAACAATGTAGCTGTAACCTTAATGCATGAATTTAATGACTAAAATAAGTAGCTGTTGAAATCCTGTGAGCTACATTATCTGAGAATTCTATCTAAACAATAGTGATTTTTGTCTTTATAAGGTGGCAGAAAGGGTATTACCCAAGCTGATATACAAATTACCCAAACTGCATAAAATTCATTCTCCTATTTATAACATTGAGCATTTGTTGTTGTTGTTGTGTTTGCCATCGCGTCAGATCCGACTCATAGCGACCCCTCCTTGCGTTTCCGAGGTGGTATCTCTTCCAAGGAGTGGCTGGTGGGTTTGAACCACCAGTCTTCTAGTTAGCAGTCAAATGCCTTAGGCAATACGCACGCCACCAGAGCTCCCAACACTGAGCATATTCATTGTAGATATGGACACACGTGGGATAGAGAAGAGGAAGGAAGAAGTCATACTTACTGTCAAAATCCCATGCCAGAGACCAACATCCTTCTTGAAATCTAATACATTCACAATTGTTTCAGCTGTACAATAAAAATAAAGAAAATATTACTAATTAAAGGTCAGCACAGACCAAAGTGCAAACAGAATCCAGCATAACATCAGGGGTAATAATGGATCTTGAGAAAACATCATTTCAATGCATCTTTGTGGAAACTCTGTAGCCTCCAATCAGACCCATTTAAAAATGCTGACTAGCCTTCTGAAAATTGTTTCCATATGAATGTTTCATCAAGTAAGGAAAAAGCAAAAGCTGTTCATATCATCACTTAAAAAAATAGAATTTATTCCCTTCCCTCGTGTGTATTTATTTTCCATTTTCATCCTACTCATTCATTCATTCATTCATTCAATTCACACACATCTCCCAGGAAAAGGAAACGGCTTTAATTTTAACATGTCCTGTATCTGAGGAGAAAAATCAATTTCTAAGCAAATACACTGGCCTATGTTATACTACTAACCAAAAAAACTAAACCCACTGCCATTGAGTTGATTTCAATTCATAGCGACCCCCGTTGGATTTCCAAGGCAGTAAATCTTTACGGAAGTAGATTGTCCAGTCTTGCTTTGACAGAGTGGCTGGTGGGTTTGAACTACCAACCTTCTGGTTAGCAGTCAGATGCCTTAGGCACTCAACTAGCAGAAGTCTTTAAAGGTGACTATGGGATAGGAAAGAAAGTAAAGGGAATTTGGAAAGATATGAATATAAGAGTATTCAAAAATTATAGAAAAGGGAAAACAGAAAATAAACCTCTGAAAAGGGGAAGATAAAGAGAAATGATATTTTCAATTGGGTGCGTTAGTTCCAAGCTAAAAATATATAGTTGCAGGTAATTATTATCACAGAATGTGGAAGCAAACCAGAGATCCAGCCAGGAACAATGCAAAACTTTCTCCTGAAGTCTTATCAACTAAGGTTTTGTACTTCAGCTGCCCATTTATATGCTCCAATGCTGCCTGACACTGAACTCCCCAGGTATTTACCAAGGCTGCATCTTACATGCTTACTTGTTCATTCTTGCAATGCTCCTCAAAGGATTAGTATTGTGTCCTTTACCTCCCCTTCAAAGATTAACATATGAAGGTGGACATGCAGGGGGACTTTAAAAAAAAAAAAAAAAAAAAGGGAACAGCCTATATTCTATTTTAAAAGTATTTTTTAAACAATAGATAAATAAGATGTGAATATATATATATTGCCTCTTCAACTCCCACAAGTGACAACCCTGCACCTTCAAGAAATAAGAGCAAGGAATACATGTCATGAGGTTGCAAGAAATGTTCAAATTAAAAATGAAACACACTGACCAATAAGATGAGGAGGATGATTAGAATGTGTGGAAGTGTCTGTAAGCTAGCCCAGAGACCAAACATTATTGAACACTTCCACAAGACAAATGTATTATTTTAAGAAGGGAGATGACCAGAGCCCAAGGAAAGAAAGTGAATGAGAATGAGTACGAAAAAGAAAAGCCAAAGCATTTCCTTCTAAAGTGGAATGACAGAGTGTCACCAAAAGAATCCTCAGGTACCAGAAAGTGAGGCCAGTGCTGAAAGTGGACTATTGGGGCACAATGACAATACGGGAAGTCGGTCACAGAAACTTCAAGCCAGAAGTGGTCTGACCCTTCCTGTTATGTACCTAATTCAGTGCTGTTAGCACAATTACTTCCCAGTCACTCTCTTTTCTTCCATAATCATCCTATGCAGGGGAAAAAAAAATATGGGTGAAAACCATTATTCTCAACTGTGGTAGCCCACCAACTGGGGAGCTCATGACACCATCTCGGAGACTAATTCAATTCGTATGAGGTAGGCTGAAGCAGGGCATGTTTTTTCTCTCTTTTTTTTTAATTGTGATTTGGGTAAAAGTTTACAGAGCAAACTCATTTTCATACAACAGTTCATATACATTTTGTTTCATGACATTGATTGCAGTCCCCACAATGTAACAGCTCTCTTCCCATAAAGTGGGCCTTTTTTTTTTTAAAAAAAAAAAAAAAGCTGCCTGACGATACATTTTTTTAAAAAATGTAAAGCCAGGTTTAATCATCCATGGTATTAACTAACAAAAAAGTAACAAAAAACTTCAATAATTTAACATTTCATTGAATTAGGCATAAGCTTAATACTACTTTTACTGTTATTACTAGAGATGACATGGTTTCTCCATTAAAACATCCCTAGCTAATACAACACTTAACAGAACCAACATCACAAGGAGTCATGGTCTTGTAAAGAACACAACCTGGCACTGCTGAAGGGAAAAGGAGGTCTGTCCATACCTTCTGTGTAGCCACAAGCTTGTGTAAGGGCTTGGCAGTGGGTTAGTAGTGCAATTCTTGTCACAGTCACCCCAAGTACACTTCCATCCTTACACGTTTTATACTAAAAGGAGAGAGAAAATATTTGAAAAAGTGGTACTGAGAGGCAACAAAATAATTGGTACACATCTATCAGTTTCTCTTAGTCATTTAAGATGCTCTAGATTCTTTAATAATGAAGCTTGTGTAACCATCACAAAAGCATGTTAATTTCCAATGTACATCAAAAAAAACAAAACAAAAACCAAACTCACTGCCGTGGACTCAGATCTGACTCACAGCCACACCTCCTTGGGTTTCCGAGGCAGTATCACTACAGAAATAGACTGCCCAATCTTCCTTCTGAACCACACAAGCCTTTTGGTTAGCAGTCAAATGCCTTAGGCACTACGCCACCAGAGCTCCCATGGGAGTAGATCATGCTACACATACCTCAATATAAGCAGTGTCATTATTTGCATCCTTAATATGAGGGAACCAATCTCGAGGAGGTTTAGAGAGATGTTTAGACTCTGTGACAAACCATAATAGCTTTGGCCAACCTTGGAGATAAATGAGAAATTGCTTTTAAGTTAGCACCCAAAAGTCATATATGCAAACAGCAAACATTTTTTAAAAAGCCTTGAAAAAGAAGTTATTTATCTCCATTGATGAGGTATACTTTCCAACAACATTTCAAGTTATATTAAATCTTTGGAGTTTCCATATTTCATCAAATCTAAGATAACACCAACAAAAAGATAACTGTGAACCACTGCCAGTTAAATTGTGTCACACCATACATTTTAAGACCTGTCCTGATTTCAGAAATGCTAAATGTGAAAAAAATGTGTGCCTTGGTATTGGTGCAATATAGTACACCAAAAACCAAACCCACTGCCATTAAATTCCAACTCATAGTGACTCTATAAGGACGGAGTAGGACTGACCCATAGGGTTCCCAAGGCTGTGATCTTTATGGAAGCAGATTGGCATATCTTTCTGGTTGTGGGGTTTGAAGTGCCAACATTTCAGTTAGCAGCTAAGTGCTTAATCATTGTGACACCAGGGTTTTTACAAGATAGTACACTCTTCTGAAAATGAAGAGCCAGTATCTCTGACCTAAGGAACTTAGAAGTAGTGACTTCTCAAGAGCTCTTTGGCTTACCTTTAAACTGTGGTATTTCTCCTGTTGGGCTTTTTGGTAGTCCTTTATGGCAAGCATCACTAGTCAAGGCTACAGTAACTCCACAGCTCCCAAGCAAGAAACCTATTTGTTGGCTTCCTGCATCCTGAGAGAAGACAACAAAGAAAGAATAGTTAGAAATACAAGATCAGGGCTCTACACCTGGCAAAAACACTACCTCGCCATCAGGGAGTGGGGAAGTGAACTAACTTCTCTAAGTCCTTTTCCTCCTCCAGAACAACTCGTAACTCAGGACATAGACTCAAAGTCTGCAGAACTAGGACAAAATTCTAGCCCTGACACTTGCTAGCTATATGATCTTGAACAGATAATTTGCTCAGACTTAGTTTCCTCATTTGTAAGATGGGAGTAAAAAGAATAACTGTCCCATATATTTGTTGTGAGGAACAAATTAGAATAGTGCATGTAAAGTGTTTAACTCAATGACTGGTATTTAATTAAGTCTCAGTAAAAGGTTGCTATTTTATTTTTCTCCAGTTCTAGAAGACTACAAGTGTGATAAACATAATCACTGTAGAGAACAGGAAGTGTACAAGAAAATCTCTTCGTGCCTAACATACTAATACCAAGGACTTGATTTTCAAAATACTCAAAGCAAAGACCTATAATGTACATGACTACATCTAACATTGGTATACCAGACATAAGCCAGTCTCAACCACAGAAATGAGGGCCCGGGTGACCTTTTTCCTCACACGTAGGCTGTATGTCATATCTCAATGAAATATGACATAGAGTGGGCCACTGCTCTACCACACTGACTCTGGTGACATGTAAAGGACAAGGAGCCACCAAATTACTAACCCGCAACTTGTCATACCTGAACTATCCTCAGCTAGTGTTGCTACAAGCTGTGTGTGACTTGGCTGTGGTGAATTATGTTAATGATTATATCAAATTGTGCCAAACTTTGTTCCATAGGAAGCCAGACAAGTAGTCAGGTGGGATCACTTAGCTTTCCTTCCTTCCCACCAGTGACACTGACTACATTGGCTACAAATAAAATGAAAGTCCTGAAATAACAAGAATTCCTAGAACTGAAATGTCATCACTTACAGTGAATGGGTCACCTGTACACAGTTCATAGACACCTCTGTGTAGCAGGGTGTGAACTCACAATAACCTAGTAAACCACTCAAGTGGGAACAAAGGCCCAGTTTACCAACTCTCTGACCAATCTGTCCCTTGCTCATGGAAAACACATGAAAGAAAGTTGTGGGATTTTTACCTGGGTTGATTCAGCAGCATTAACAAAGCTATAGTCTTTTAAATGTTTATTTCATGCTTTCCTTATTATGTACTTAAGTCTACAGTGAAAAATATACTTCTTTATGTGGAGTTCTCAATCTAGATGGGCCATTTGAAAGTAACTCACCAACCCATAGGACCACTGCGCTGTCAACATCCTAAGCTGCACACCCCATGCAACCCTCAGAAGAGAGATGTCTGGGGCTCAGCAGATGGGAATGTCCCCTATTTCAGGGACATCTCATTGTACTTCTCCTTCAAGTAATAATGTTTTCAAGCACAGATATAATAATTACATTTTCATGGGGAAATCAGTTACTTGACTTTGAATTTGAGTAGCACATTACCAAATATCATTACCAAATAAAGTGAAGGAGCAGAGGTTCTGTAAATGGATCAGCTGTAGCAGCAAAAAAGAGTTTCTTTTATGAGCATATAGTTTCAGGGCTGAGTCAGAAGGTACACACTGTAATTGTCTATAACAAGACCTTGAAATGATTTAGAGTCAGAGTTACTCATAACTACTGCTTTCAGTAAACTTTTTTTTTCTGCTAAGAATAATGTAAATTCTCTAGAAACAGCAGGCCAGGCCAGTGGGATGGCTCATGTTCTGCAGGAGAGAGAACACTGCATGATTAAATCACTATGACCTGACCCAAGAGGTCGATGATGTAGCAAAGGAGGCCAAGTCACTCCAGTTTCCACAGATGCCAAAGAGTAGGTACAATACTCCAACTTTAATAAGCACTGCCGTCTCCTGATGGCTGACTTCTGATAATCTGTACTTGATTTAATTCCTAAAGTGGTACAATCACATATACACCAAAAAAAGAAAAATAAAACTCTTAGAATATAAAAGAAGAGATTAGGAACCGCATGAGAAGGCGAATAATTAGGAACACAATGTTGCAATTTAGCATGAAATTTATCCTTCACACCTGCTGCCTGGAATGAGCTTTTCATCTCTGGCACCTAGAAAATTCCTATTCATTCTTCAGAGATCCAGTCAAATGTCAGCTTTCCAAAAAGAGACTCTGCCCACTCCCCCATACCCTCTGCATTTTAGTTGGGTTCCCTTCCCTGCCCCTCATTACTTGCTCTTAGAGCACCCTGTCATCTCCTTCATGGCACCTATCATGCTTGTAATTAAATAAATGCATAACAAGCTATTTAACCCAGTGTCAAGCACAAAGCCTGGTATATATAGACACTCTCAACAAATAATTGCTGAATGATTGAAACCCTGGACATACTGGCATCTAAAGCAAAGGAAAATGTCATCTTTCATGGAACTCACTGCCTGATGAAAGCAATCTT